AATAAAATTTAAGCTATTTATTTTATTAAAAATCCAAAAATATGAGAATTATTTCTTTTACCATATTTATTTCAATGTTATAATAGGCCTTTAACAAAAAACCGAAATGGTGATCGCCCAAAGGAAAAAATTTATCGTAACTTTTAGTCTTAATGAATTTGACATTATGACTATAGACCTTTTAAATCAAAAAATTCCAAAAATAAAATGAATGATTATTGCTACATCTATAATATCTACTATATTGTTATTTTCATTTTAATTAATAAAAAAATAAATAAAAACATCTCGCGTACATCTGCTATTTTGCTGTTTTAATCAGCCAAAAAAAAAAATTACTTATAATATCGACTTAGCTGATTCTCAAAAAGTTCAAGAAATAATTTTATATAATCGAAATTTTATAATGCTACTTATTATGAATTCATTAAGTAAGTCAAGTACTATTTTTTGCTTTTTAAATTTCTTTATACTGTATATAAATTTATTAATGAATATGATTTAAAATTCGATTATTATTTTTTTTTTATATAGCAGGCTCAAAATAAATAATAGAGAACTTTCAGAACTTTCAAAAAAGTATTTAAAGAAAGATGCGGAAATTTAATAGCTTGCTTCAATTATGTTTTCGAAACTTAATTATGATTGTTTCTGTACGTTTTCGACTTATCAATACTAAAAAGACGATAATTGTTTAAAATTTTATCAAATAAAAAATTATAATTATAAAGAATTCAAAAATTCGAAAGTAATAATCCAGAAAACTCGAATCAAAATAAAAATAAAAAAATAAAAATAAAAAAAAAAAAGTTGATACAATTTGGATTTTTTTTTTAACTGTGTAAAAAAAAAAGTATATGTTAAAAACGTATTTATTCTTTATTCCTTAATCAGATTAAGCATCTAACCCAGACTACTTGTTACTTTTAACAATTAAGAGAATATGTTGTAAAATTAAATAATTTTAGAGCATAGTCTTTTAGACATTTTTTATTGCATCCGGTCGGGTCGGATCACCTAAAGTAGAAGAAAAATAAAATCTAATCGATTTTAAACTTGATAAATTTTTCTTTGACCGCGAATATACCAAATAAATTATTATACATCGTCTTGTATCTAATATAAAATATCTAAAGAAAGACCAATTGAAGATTGGCCAATTAAATATTAATATCAATGATAAGCGTCGAGAAGAATATATATAATAAAAAATAAAAATAAATGGATAAATAACGATAACGATAAGAACCTTTGCTTCTTTATTCTTTTTTCTTAAAAAAAAAGAAGGAAAAGAAGTAAAAGAAGGAAAAGAAAAGGCTTCATCCGTGCCGAATTTCCGTAACCATAATTGGGAATGCCGAGAATTTCGTTTTTTTTTAGTAATTCAATTAATTGTAGACTAAAAATATCATTATATTTGGCGTATGTATTGCTACATACTTTTTTTTTTTAAAAAAGCTAACTTTATTTCGACTATCATTTTTTTTATACTGTGTTTTGTTCTATAAATAATAACCAGATTTAGATATTAATATCCGTATCCGAGAAAAATTCGGGTAGACGGCTAATGATAAATAAATGAAATCCTACATAATCCTTAAATTATCTTTCCGTATATATTGTTTATTAATGTAGTTAAAAAAAGAAAAAAATAGAAACTAGACAATTTAACTTAGACCATTAGATGTTTTATTTATTTGAAATTATAACGTATTGTGAAAATTGAGAATGAAGATGATAACAAAGAAATTAACGAATGGTGGATTGAGGATTATCTCACGCGCCCTCGCATGCATGTGCATCACCACACCATCATACTAAATTATGCATTGTTCAGTATTAATTTATTTTGTTTTTACGTAGATACTTTTTTTTTTACACGAATATATCTCATCTATTATCTGTTCTGTCATGAATGATAATACATCGTAAATTCTTAAATAATTAATTTCTTTTTTTTTAAAAAAAAAAAAATACAAAATTGATATTTTCCTATTTTGAATGATTAAAAAAAAATCAGAAACACATTAAATGCAATAATTACAGGTAATAAAAATTTAAATTTATTTATTTATTTATTTAATTTTATTTGTTTGATAATTTAATAAACTATACAGCTTTGTTATTATTATTATATTATTATTATTTATTTATTATTATTATTATTATTTATTATTATTATTATTATTATTATTTATTATTATTATTATTATTATTATTTATTATTATTTACTATTATTTATTATTATTTATTATTTATTATTACTAATTTATTATTTATTATTATTAATTTATAATTTATAAAACGGTAATTACTTTAATTGACTTTAAATGTACGCAAAAATATTCATAAATTCGGTTATTATTACAAATTTTGGCACGTCTCATCCGTTATATTCTAATTATTATCATTATCATAATTATAAAAATCCTAAAATGTGGTATTGACATAATATAATCACACACGCGTGTATGCGCGCGCGAAACGACGAGATAATCTAAGGATAAAAGATGATCATGCGTTATCATTTATTTATTTAATTACATTGGGATTTACTTATATTTATTTGTTAATTAATTAAATTATTTATTTATGTTATCTGATTTATTTGTTTATTTATTTATTTATCATCTATTATGCGTAATTCTTATTATTACTGCAACCACCTTATTAACGAATTCTATTCTACGCTGTTCTCTACGATTCCATGTTACTATTCTTATTCTAATATTCCCTTTTTTTTTTTTTTATTGCTATATTAATTAATATCAATTATTATTATTTTTGATTGGTATTTATTTTTATGCGTGATGATAAAGTTTGATAAACTTGGAAATGAAACAGAAGAACGTAAACAGTAAATAGCAATAATGTACTTGAGACAAACAGGAAATGATGATGATGATTCAAAAATAGATATGCACAATATGTATTCCACGCGTACATAGATTTCACGTGTACATAATTCTTCATTTACAGTATTTACAGTCGATGTTAAAATCAAATGAAATTGTAGAATGTAGAAGAAACAAGTTTTTCATTTTGCCGGAATAACTAATGACTGGTTTAGGTCAAATTTTAAGAATAGTCATAAAAATAATGGGTTTAAAATATTTGGTATTTACATCATATTTTTTTTTTCAAAGTTACATAAGATCGTTAAAATAAACATAGATAAGACAGGAATCTTATCTATCAAAAAAAAAAAAATCTTTTTTCTTTAAGAATATTATTATTGATATGAATTATAATAAAAGGTGTTTTTACATGTGTATGTAAATAAATATAAATAAGTATAAATAAATAATTGTATAGTAAATAAATATTATTGAATCCATGAAGATAAAGATAGATAAAGAAGGAAAAGAGAGAGAAATGACATTTGTGAAGTACATTATAATAATGTACAGTACAGTAATTATTCATTCAATTCATTTATTTGATAAATTTCTTAATAAGATTTCATTTTATTCAAATTAAATTAAATTTGTAAAAATGTCTGGTACTCTGGTTACTCTGTTTTCTTTATTTTGTCCATTTCGATTAATTATTGTTATTATAAAAGAAGAAAAAAAAATTTTTACTTCTAACCACTTAAATTCATGCAATTCTTCAACATATACGCAAAGTAAACAATAGATACAACGACGCAAGTAAATTTTAGGTAATATAACAAGTTACTAACAAGTTAATATTTAAAATGTCAAAGGACAGTCTATTCTCTATTCAGATTTAAGGTTATTGTTATTCTTGTGATCTAAATCTTTCTTTTCATCATTTTATCGAGATTTGGAATTTTCTTTTTTTTTTTGATTCCTGATTGATTTAATTTTTTTTTTTTTTTTATCATATGTAACTTTATTTATTTTAAGTATATCGCGGTATTTATCAATGTTTATCAATCTACTCAAATAATTACTTAATTCTCTATTACTGTGTCGGTTGAAATTTTTTTTTTTTCTGCACTCCCATATTTCCGGTTGTTTACCGTCTCACTCCCGTTTGTTAAACAGTAGATAAGTTATCAATTCCCTTTTATGATTAAATTCAATTTCCTTATCAAAAATCATTACTAAACAAATGATTTTTTTACGTTAGAATTGTTTTATACTTTTTTTCATTATATTTTTTATTAAAAAAAAAATTACAAATGTTTATTACTTGTGGTAGTGATATGAAATTTTAGTGATGTTACTTCGTTTGAGGTGTTCGATCACCTGTTGTCATTATTTACAATATTTTTATCCAAAAAATATATCCATCATTAAAAAAAAATTATTACAACAACAAATGTATAACGACGAGCAAGTATTATCGAGTTTGATATCTGATAAATTGCAGATACAGCCTGTAATAATCTGCAATAATCTGTAAGTCTGTAGTTGTTAATAGGAAGGATTTATATTAATATGAATGATGGTCATACATTTGTTAGAATGATAAGCATATACGTATCTGATATAGCGTAATAAAGTATAGTGTAGTGTAATATAATCATATAAGCAAGTAATTTCTTAATTTATCATATCATATTTATCATTTACTTATTTATTTATGTATTTTAATTTTTATTTGGGGGGAAAATAAATTCCTAAATAAAGTTACCATAATAATTATTAATAAAAAAAAGATTCTAATTAGCTAATTTGATCAATATTTCTTTGATAGATTAGGAATTGATTTTTTTTTTGAATATAAATACCCGTCTCTTCACCCCTTTTTAAAATTTTTTCTTCGATACAATTCCAACAACTTTTTTTAAACAATCAATTCAACTTTCAAATTCAACTTACTTAAACAATTTTTTTTATTAAATTCAATTTTCCAGTATATTTTAAACTAATATCTGGGTTTTTTTTTTTGTAACGATTTTATATCTTTTTTTTTTAACGAATAACCAACAACAAATAACTTATTTCTATTATCACTTGTCCCTACTTTCTACCAACCAACCAACAACCGACAACAAATCTTTTTTTCAAATTTCTTACTCGAAAAAATGACTGCATCCAATTACAAATCTGACAGTGCCAATCTCGCTAAATACCTTTCCCTTAATCAATTCGGTAAAATCCAAGCGGAATACGTTTGGATTGATGGTGATAGTGGACTTCGTTCCAAAACTACTACACTCGATAAGTCACCTACTGACGTTTCTGAATTGAAAGAATGGAATTTTGACGGTTCTTCCACTAATCAAGCTCCGGGTGATAACTCTGATGTCTTACTTCGTCCCGCCGCTTTCTTCCGTGATCCTTTCCGTAAAGGAGATAACATCATCGTCCTCTGTGAAACTTATAATAATGATGGAACTCCCCATAGAACAAATTATCGTCACGAATGTGCTAAAATCATGGCAGCGCATGCTGACGCCGAACCTTGGTTTGGAATTGAACAAGAATATACTTTATTCGATCAAGATGGTCAAGTACTTGGTTGGCCAAAAGGTGGTTACCCTGGTCCTCAAGGTCCTTATTATTGTTCAGTTGGGGCTAATGTTGCTTTCGGACGTGACGTTGTTGAAGCTCATTATCGTGCTTGTCTTTACGCTGGTGTTAAAATTTCCGGAATCAATGCTGAAGTTATGCCTGGTAATTTAAATTATTTTAATAATATTTTTATTTTTATTATTATTATTATTATTATTATTTTATTATTATTTATAATTGATATTTAATAATTAATTATTTTATTTTATTTATTTTTATTCAGGTCAATGGGAATTCCAAGTTGGTCCATGTGTAGGTATTGACATGGGAGATCACCTTTGGATGGCAAGATTCTTATTACATCGTGTAGCCGAAGATTTTGGTATCGTGGTATCATTCCATCCTAAACCAATTAAAGGTGATTGGAATGGAGCGGGTTGTCATACCAATTATTCAACCGCTGCCATGCGAGCTGAAGGAGGTATTAAAGCTATTTATGAAGCAATTGAAAGATTATCGACTCGTCATTTAGAACATATCGCAGTTTATGGTGAAGACAATGATCAACGTCTTACCGGTAAACACGAAACTGGTCACATTTCACAATTCTCTTCTGGTGTAGCTAATCGTGGAGCTTCTATTCGTATCCCTCGACATGTGGCTGCTGAAGGAAAAGGATATATGGAAGATCGTCGTCCAGCTTCTAATATAGACCCTTACCGTGTAACTCATATCTTTGTTGAAACCACTAGTCCATAATTAATCAATTAACCTATTACTCTATCTCTATCTTCTTAACAACAACAACAACAACATAATAATACATACACAACTCCACAATCAATCAATCAATCAATCAAAAAAAAAAATCGCATGGTTATTTTATTCATATTATATATTCGGGGCTTTTGATAAAATATATATATATATATATTATTTATATTTGGGAATGGGTTATTTTTTATTAACATAAAAAAAAGGGGGAATAAATAAATGGTCATATTTTTTATTTTTTCATTTTTCTTCCATATAATATAGATATAAATCTATTTTATTTAAATCTTTTGTTTCCATTTTTCAATTTTTTATTTATTTATTATATGTTTCATATTCTCATGTGTGTGTGCCAAGTTTTTTATTTTTTTACCAAATAAAAAAAAATATAACAATTCATCATTCATCAATTTCTAATTTATTAAGTATAACGTAACATTATTTTTTATATTGTCTAATGTCTTTTTTTTATGCACATTTACATATATATATATATATGTATATATGTATGTTTTTATATATACTATATATATATATTGTTTGTTTTTTTTTGATATGTCAAAGTGTTTTATAATTATACACACATTCTCTCTCTATTTCCTACTCCCAATTCCTTATTTCCTTACCTTCTTTCTTTCTTTCTTCTTTTTACTTCTTCTTTCTTGGATTTGTCTTTGATCAATTGATCTATATCAAATCTTTTCATTTTTTATATTTTAGTTTATAGAAGAAAGATATTATTGATTTTTCATTTTTAAATGAAAAATCTTTGGTTGGGATCAAAAAGGAATTTCATGTAGTTTTTGGAAATGAGAAATGTATGTCACTTTTTTAATGCGTTAATTTTATGATTTTATTTTTTTTTTTATTTTATTTTTTTTTTATTACTTTTTTTTTTTTAAAAAAAAAAAAAAAAAGTTGAAAGTATAGTTGAATTAGTTGTTTGAAATTATTTGAAATTGAAATTGAATGAATGAATGGCACACAGATATATAATTGACATTACCTTTTATTTATTCCCTTTTATTCTTTTTTTTTTGAAATTTATTTTTTCATCTTTTATGATCTGACTTAATTTTTTTTTTTTAAAAAAAATTATTTCAAATGCAACTTGCATTTTTTTTTTTCCCCGTTTGTTCATATCTTAATGACAAACGAAATTCGGAATTATGTTAAAACAATAATAATAATTATCAACGTAAGCTTAAAGAATTAAAATTACGAAATTTATGTATATTTCACTTTATGTATATTTTTTTTTATGTGTATATTTTTTTTTTTTTTTTAATATTTTATTTATTTAATTTATTTATTTATGTAAATAATACCTTTTTTTTTCTTACGACATATTTTTTAATATAAGATAAAATCATGACCTCCCTTTACCTTTTTTTTTTTTATTTATTTGTTTTTTTTTCTTAAATCATATATATAAAAAAAAACTTGTTAATATACTAGAAAAAAAATTTAAAATATTGTATAAAAGAGAAAAAAAAAAATAAAAATTTTTCGTAATAAAAAAAAGTATATAAATAAATTAATCGAAGACTTTATTTTTAAATTGATGTGTGATAATTATTGCGTAGTATTTTTATTTGTAAAAAAAAAAAAATATACAAATAAATGCAAAAAATCTTATCGTATCATTTAAAAAAAAAAAAAATATTTACTGTCATAATGTACATTTTTAATTTTGTTTTTCAGAATCTAATCTATTTCGTAAAAATATAAAAAAATATATATATTGGCTATTCTTATTATAAATAATAAACGTAGAAATATATTATATATATATATATATATATATATATATAATGTTCCAACTATTATTTAAAAAAAAAAAAAAATAATAATTATTTTGTTATTATTCAAAGATTGACTGGAGAGTAATCAAAGCTTCTTCTCTTTCATTTTCATCTTCAATTTGTAAACTTTCATATTTCCTTTGTTCATAAATTAATTTATCATTATTACAGATATAACTTTCACAATAATTTATCAACTTATCAACCGAAAATAATTTCGCCCATGCTCTTATTTCAATAATATTTTGAGGTGTTTGTAAATGTTTACTAACGATAGTATCCGCCACCAATTCTTTTAAGTCATCAAGGAAATAAAGATTGGCCAAATTTAATAAATCGATGTAATGATTAAGATAAAATGATATTTCATCTGCTTCATCACCATCATTAATACTTGGATTATATGGTATTTCATTCATGGCTTCTTCTAAAGGTTTTTTGTAAAGCCATTTTAAAAATACTCGAAATGAATCAGGGTGAACATCATCCGCTGCTCCTTCTTGTAATTTTATATGTATAATTTCTTTCATATTTGATTCTTTAAATTTACTGGTTACCGCCTTATAGAAATGTGGGCATGAGAATGCCAAAACGAATCTGGAAGTTTTAACTTCTTGACCACGAATATGAAATACCGTATCTAATAATTCTTCTTCCGATTCTCGTTGATCCCTTACTCGAGGATCTTTGGAAGGTGGATCAAGAAGTTTACATAAATTTTCAAATACCGGATCTCGATTCTGAATTTGTACCACGGCGGCGACGGAGGTGGGATTTGAAATTGATAAGGAAGGTAATTTAAATGATTTGGCACCACATTGTAATAATAAATTCTTAAATTGTTTAAGTTTCGAATGAACTGATACCAAATTATTGGTGAGATCATCTTTAACATTGAATACTAAATTTTTGGCTGCTTTCCATTGATTTAAATCGAAAGGATCTTTACCATTAAAGAATACTTTCGGACAATCACTTAAACCTTTATTTAAATTTCTAAGAAATTCATTATATGCCAAAGTTCCAATTTCCTTAGAAAGAATTAATTCTTCATTTAAACGAGCATAAACTCCTCGAATAAGTTTACGAAGTTGTTTCTTTCTTAAAGGTTCTCTCCAATCTTCTAATTCTCTATTTTCAATCCTTTTCTTAATTTCCAATAAATGATTTAATGTTTCGAATGCAGGAACCTTTTCAAGTTCTTCATATAATATTAAAACCGTTCTTGGGGGAATTGCTCGATCATGAAAAATTCCAGCTTGAGTCCAACAAAGATCAATATGTATAGGCATTCGAAGTTCGGAGAATGCACAAAGTTTAATATTTGGAATCTTCGCGGTACCGAAATAAGGAAAACATAATTTTCTTGAAGGAACAATTTTAATTCGTTTAAATCGATCCCATTGATTAAATGAAAATGCGAAATTATCAATATTATAATAAAAATGTAAAATCAATTGTTCCGCTCGATCCAAAATATCCTGAGGAGGATTAAGTCGTTCAGCCATGGTTTCAATATTCTTGGCGATTCGAATTAATCTTTCCACATCAATTCTTCCTTCAAATCCAAGTTTCTCTAATCCCGATAAATAAATCCCATTTGTGAGATCATCAGCTATGAATAAATCGGAACCCGCGTATAACCTTCGAATTAATAAAACTGATTGATTAAGACATTCGTCAGCACGTAAAAGTCTTGAATATAATTGATTAGGAATTAATTTTCGATTTGACCATCGGACATCAATTTTATTAGTTGGAAGTTTTAAGAATGATCTCAATAATTTGTTATAAGATAAATCCGAAGGATCAATTCCACCACTATTTGCTTTATCAAAAATATCACCCAAATAAACATAATCAGCTATTGTATAAACTCCCAATGCTTTTAAAATACGTCTTTCCGATTCATCCTTATAATTAATATAACAACGATAATTGCTTCGAGTAGATTCGTAATATTCCAGTTTCTCGGGGACAAGCATTCCACGAACCGCTGGTACATATCCGACTTCAGGATCGAAAGTTGGCCAAATAGGAAATTCGCGAAGGATGTTCCATAATTCAGAATCACTTTCCACTCGATCTTCATCTGAAAAAAAAAATATTTAATTTACATTATTATTATTATTTATTTATTTTTTATATATTTATTGACACCGACACCAATTAAAAATCTTTAAAATATTTACATTCATTTCTTTTATCAATTAACCTTTTCCATTTACGAACAATATATTCACGAATTCGATCCCGTTCGTCGTTAGAAATAAATTGAAACAATTTTTCCATACTAGTTTGACGAGTTAAACGTAATTGTTCCACGGCCCGAACAATATTGGCCGGATTAAATTCTTTAACGAACACTTGATGATTATCAATTTTAAAATCGGTAAAGAGGATTCCAAGTTTATTTAAATCATTTAATAAACCGGATTGTCCTTGTTTGGGACATTTTTCGGTCCTCAATATTGGTAAATTGATATCATTTAAAGATTTCAATTCGTAAGTGATATTCCAACCAAATTTAATGATTGGTATCGGAAGATTTCTTTTGAAATATACATCCTTCGCCAATCTCTTAAATTCATCCTTGGAGTTAGATAATCGATTCCAATATTCGATCATCCACTCCTTATTTATCAGGATGTCATTATTATCATTATTAGGATTATTACTATTCTGATTATGATTAATATTATTTGGATCCCAATTTTCAATATTGGGAATTGGCATTTTGATTTGTTCATGCCTGAGAAGATCGAATATTGAATTTATCCCAAATTTAAAGACTTTTAAAGCCCTCTGAAATTCAGGAAAATTGAAGACCTCTTTAAGGTCAACAGGTAATTCATCTTCTATAATTATCGTAATTGGACCAACTTTTGGAAGAATCTTTATGTCAGAACGAGCGGCCAAGTAATAGGTTTGAGTGCCGAAGGCGGCGAATTCATTCGATTGAGTAGGTACCAGAGGCACATACATCAATTCTTGATATGCTTTGTCACGGAGGACAAAACGAAGGAGATTGAAGATGATCTCATTTCGTACGTTTACCGATTCGGCCTTTAACTTCAAAGCCTTACATCGAAGGACGTCACGAACAAATTGAGAACTCACTTCCATCATTGTTGAATTTGAAATTGGAATTGGAGAGGTGGAAGCGAGATTTGGACGTCCTTTTGATACTTTGTATTCATATTCGGATAAGATATCTGCAATCCAGAAATCATTAGGAAGTCGGATATACCATCGATCGTCTTTTCCTTCTTTACTTTCATCAGATATAGGACATTGACTTTCGTTACCTTTGGTAGGAGTAAAATTGGATTTTTTTTTGGGATGTGTATGTCGGAAAGGTTTTTTAAATTCTTTCTTCGGTTGAGACATATTGAAAAAAAAAATAAAAAATAATTTCGTAAAAACAAAAAAGTATTTGTTGATAAAAAAAAAATGAATTCGTTGCTTCTTTTTTTTTTAAAAAAAAAAAAATTGATAAAAGTTATAATTTAACAATGGAGAGAGAAAAATAGTTTAACGAATGACAATTTTATATATAATTTTAAGGATATGGTGATCATATGTTAGATTTTAAAGAAACCAAAAAATTTAAACAATATTGTCATCAGATATCGAACAGTTTAAAGCGTTCTATTTTTAATTATTCAAGTGACACCACTCTTTTCTAAAATAATCTATCTTAAAATGATTTTCCAGATTAGGTTATCAAAAAAAAATTGTTTAAATAACATGCAGGTAACCCAATTTTTTTTTCGAAATTTTTATTTATAACTTGAACTTTTTTTGTTTTTTTGAGAGAGAGTTCCTGAGTAAGAATTTTAAGAAGAAGAGATGATTAGAATAAATCGTTTGAACATTATAAAATCACAATTTTGTACTCATAATATATTATTCAATATACGGAATGAGAAGTTTAATAATAATACCAATATAATTTTTCGACCTTTTAATAATAAACGACGGATATCGACATATCCGGATAAGATTAACAAAGAAAAAAATCCTCATATATTCCAAAGAAGATATTTAAACCAGGACACTAATGCAGCGGGAGTTTGGGATCCATTTCCTGGTATTTTATTTATCAATTATTTATTTGTTTTATTCAATTAATTAAATTTTTATTTTTTATTTTATTTTATTTTATTTTTTTTTTATTTTTTTTTAGTTTATCTTTTAATAAATTTATAATATATATATATTTATGTTAATTATTATTAATGAATTCGTTAATTGGAAATTATACAGATCCATTTCAACCTATCGTAGAAAAATCAGCGGAATCAGCGTTAGATGAAGATAATGATCGAAAGAAAAAGCCTTCAGATGATAAAAAAAAAAAGAGGGAAGGTGCAACATGGCTTTCTCCTCGTGTGATGGATGCTGTTTTAACAACTGTCATGGGTTTAGCTGCTGTTGGCATTGGTGGTGTATTATATCAAGCATAGTAAATTATCATAATTTATTGTTATTTGTTTATTTTTTTTTTTTTGTAAACTAAATTAATAATATTATTAATATATTATATTTGTCATTAATATTAAAATATTTATTAATTATTATTGTTATTATTATTAGTTATGAATGGAACGAAATACATAAAGTTGAATTAGCTTTCCTTCGTCCTTTACCACTTTTAAGATCAAAAACGAAAAGTAATTTTTTTGCAAAAGAAGAACGAAAAAAGATTGATAGTATCGTTTCTGGACGTGGAGCCGGAAAATATTATTTGCTCATGGGTGAAAGAGGAACCGGAAAAACTCAATTGGTATTAAATGCTATGGAGAAAGTTAAACATTATGGAATTGTATTTGCAGAAGCTCATTCTGATAGTGAAGTATTTAAAACCAGATTAGGTAAAGCGTTAAAGTATACTTTTAGGGAAGATTATGTAGGTCAATTGTTTGCGAGAGAAGCTCCAGAAAGAGGTAATAATAATTATTATTTTATCCTATTTATCTGTAAAAAAAAAAAAGTAGAATCTAAATCTTATTTTTAAAAAATTAAAATCTTAATAGGTTCCGCGTTGCTTGATGTAGAAAAAGCTCTAAATATGATAGAAATTGTTGCTGTCAAGTATAAAAAAAGACGTGGTCGACCGATAGTTTTGATAATTAATAATATTCATGCATTTAAAGATGATGAAGATGGCGAAGATTTATTGGAACTTTTACAACAACGAGCTGAATCATGGGCTGCTGCAAAAATTGTGAATGTTGTATTTAATACTGACGATTATACAGTTTATGAACGAATGAGTAAGTTTTTTTATTAATACCTTTTTTTTTACGCTATAACGTAAAGTTACCTATTCATTAATTCTTCATGAAATCTTTCAGAGAGAGATGCTTCTCGTATGGATGTAATTAGAATTGGTGAGTTAGCAGATCAAGAAGCATTACAATTACTTCAGGAAAAGCGACGAAGACGTTATGGTCCTGAATCTGAAGAAAAATTGAAACAAATCCTCAAAGATCGAGTTGGTGGTCGTCTTTCTTATATTAATAGATTAGGCAGAGAACGTGACTTGGATAGTAAGCATGTTACAAAAAAAAATAAAAATGTGTTTTTTTTTTTTTTAGTTTTTTCTTGATTGCTTACCATTTTTTTTTAATCAATTTTATAGAAACCGTCGAAACTCTGGAGGCAGAAGAAAAACATTGGTTAACCAATAGAATTGGACTTATTCCGGATTTTGAAGAAACGGCATTTGATGATCAAAAATATGCATCATGCGCATGGAAATTAATCAGAAAATTAGTGAAATCTGAAGAAAGATCCTTGCCATTAAAAGAATGTCGAACTATTACAGGAAATCCTAAATGGATAGAAATGATGGATCATGATAACATTATAATGATTGATGATCAACATAATGTTAAGGCGGATTCAAAAATTTTATTAAATATATTTGAAAAGATTGTTAATGACGAAGAATTTGATGAATTATTAGAAAATGTTTGTGAGAGAGTTGAAGAAGTAGATAAAGAGCAAAGAACGAGGGAATTGATTTGGAGTAAAAAGAATGATCAAGTGGTTAGAGTTGCAAAGCCTAAAAGGTGGCTTTGGTAAATTTATTATTTGTTATTATTATTAATTAGTTATATACATATATATATATATTTATTTATTTATTTATAGATTTATTTATTTATTTACTTATAGATTTATTAGATATTATTTATTAGATTTTTGTTCTATTAATATTTTGTTATTCACTTGAATTAAGTATCAACTTTTATTTAAAAGTCGTTTGACGATAATATTAGAGACAAAAGAAATTATTGTACAATTAAATCAAACATATTATTTATTATATTACATTATATTATATTATATTATATTATTTATTTATTAATGGAGGTTAAACAGTCATGAATAAAGTAAAGTTATCTTCAAAAAAGATAGAAATAAATATAATAATTAATTTGACATCATGACATCTTGATTTTTTTATAATATATTTTTTTTTTCACTTGATAAATGATTACATGTTGATCTGCTTTAATTTAAATAAAAGCTTACTCTATAATTCCAGCGATCAAATTAAAAAATATAAAAAAATTTAATAATAAATATTTTATTATATAATAATAATAAGATCAAATAAAATAAATAAAATATAATATTCAAAACTATAAGGTAATTATTTTTTGAATTAAATTTATATTCTTTTTCTTTGAAGCGCTTGTTGTAGTATTTAAACTGAATGCACTTGTATCCAGTAAAATGAATTTAGATAAACAATCAAAAATGAGAAATGGTTTTTGGATTAAATAATCAATATTAAATGAAAACAATGAATCTCAATTGAATAATACCAGAAACGGAGTGATGAAATCACGAAGTGGGATAAACGGTGATTGGTCAGCGTGATCGTATTTGTCATGTCCAGTAGTCCTTGGCGTAATGAAATCTTTCTAGATCAAAGGATTACAAAAAAACAGAAATTTGCGTAACGAAACGAAATGTGCGGATCGTTTGCGGTGTAGTATTTACACGAACTAACTTTCAAGTTGTACTAACTTCTTTTTGGTGGACGATCCAAGCAAGATCTTGCGCTTGACAGTCCTTGGTGTAATGAATCAAAGGACTTGCAAGAAATATAAATTATACAACGAACGTAGAGGATCTAGTTCCCTTCTCGGCTTTGTAAGAGGGAAAAATAATTGAAGGGGTGGTCACGATCTGTCTGTGGGAATTTTTTACAATACGAATATTAGTAGGGCTGAACTTTTCTAGATCGAAAGAATAGAAATTAACGGAACATAAAAAATCTGGTTCGTAAAAATTTCATTAATCGATATCAAACTAATTCAAGAAAATATTCATTTATTACCTATAAACCCAATCACATGCTTACGACCAAGAAACCCAAAATGTTTCGAGAAACGAACAAATTAAAAAAAAGAAGCTATTATCTACTTTGTCTTAACACATAAAATTCGAGCAAAACCTCTTCTCTTTACCTATTTCAGAAAGTTACAATAAAATTCTCAAAGAATTAATTGCATCAATCAATTAAATGAACCAAAGTACTCCGTTCCTGGTTTTAGCGTGACCACAGGTCGCGCAGCTATCTAGTTTCTGATTATCACATCTCAATTATGTAAAAATAGAGGGTGAAAATTAAACTGATTGTTGCGCAGAAAGAATTATTCCATTACCATCTGATTTTTCCAAATCAAAAAAAGTTCTTTAGAAGAAACAACTATAGAAGCTAGTCATAAATATATTTTTTATCCTAAGTTACATTGTGAACTTAATTTTATCGAATGATATTTGTGAAGCTAGATGCAATTTTAAGATGGCAAATAAATTAAAAAAAGTATATTAGATAATCTCGAAAGTTCTTTATTATTTGTTATTTGAGCCGGCTATTTTTTTTAAAAAAAAATAATAATTAATTATCGAATACCTTATCAACAATAACACGTGACTGATCCTCAAATTTCAGCCAATAAAATTGATATTCTCTCGAATTATCACGTGTTATAAATTTATATGAAATTTTATTGGCTGAAATTTGAGGACAAGTCACGTGTTATTGTTGTCAATTATAAAACATTATCGCACGCACTAATTTGAAAACCGCGATAATGCTAAATAATAATAATCTTTATAAAAAAAATTTCACGAAAACTGATCAAAATTTCTTCGATAAAACAATAACGAAATATTTCAAAATCTTAGAATTCTAAAACGTAAGCGAGATTAAATATGCACAACTTTTAATAAATTTATTGCTTTATAGAAGATCCATTGTACAATCGTACATGTTGTGGTGACGACGAAAGATTGGTAAGGTGGTACGAAAATAGCAGCGCAGAAAACATGTGATATGGGAACACAAATGATGGAAATGATGGAGAAGTACAAATGATGGAAATGATGGAGTTGTACAATGATGGAAATGA